TCTCTTAATAATATCGAATTTTCCATTTATACTATCCGGACTTATTATTAGTAGTGATATTATCTCTTTTCTCAATATATGCCTCCACCTGTTTTATTTCACATATTCGTTATTTTATTATGAACCTCTCATTGCAGTCTTACTATCTCCTGTTCAACACAACCACTTTGTACTAGCCACTCACTCACCTGACACCTTTTGTAACCTTGATGTGACTTGTCAATTTTCCTACTCCAAATTGTATGAATTTGTTAGGACTGACCACCACCATTGTCTCCAATGTCACAATATTTTTAGCCGATTTCAGCCTAGCACGACGTTTGTCACACAAATACGACTATTTATTTTGACATGCCATAACCATTATTCTGTTATACTACGTAAAAAATAATGTATCCGCCGCATAACTGGTCATTATTGTAACGCCAACAAATGCGTTATATTTTATAATTGTAAAACCAGAAGAGGAGAAATTATTGAAATGAATATTCTTCATTCAGACTGACTTATAATAATAATAATAATAATAATGACCACTTATTCCAAATAGTAGTAATTATAGAGAGTGGAATTTTCAGCGTTTTTACACATATTGCAACAATTTAGCTCTTTTTTATAAATATGCAGATACTTAATATAGTAAAATAGTCAAACCACAAAAACTAGAATTTAGTGGGACATAATGAATGATAAACATATGATATGATAAATAATACATGTATTAATGGTAATAATGATGATCTGATTCGATTTAGATTTTCCTGTCGTTTGATTGGATCGAAGTGCTCGGTCTCAGGTTGTTGTGTCGGCTCCTTGTGTAGGTGATTCGATGTTGTCTGGTCTTGAAGTCAGTTGGTTGATGGTGACCGGTTGTGGCGAAATTCACATCCTGGATTCTACTGCTAGTCAGTTGCCATGCATCAAATTATATTAATATAATAATCGTCGTTATACTTTGCAGTGGACTGCAAAGTTACTGATTGAAAAAGTTTATAAGTTCTTTTCTGGCATCTGACTCTTCATACAATACCCAGTGGTATGGTAGAATTTTTATATTTAGTAGCCGTACGAGCCTAAATTCTTATGAAGTTCCTTCTAGTTTTAAACGAAGATATACAAGGAAAAAGTTGCGAATCACAAAGAGGATGTTAAGTATTAGACAAGATAACTTTAGCGATACGCTTGTAGCAATTAAAGTGCCTATTGACAATAATGTCAGTTAGTTGACTGAGTCCAAAGCGCACAACTAACTCTACTTAAAGCCTTCAGTGTTCCACGTAATATGATATGGTCTTTCTTGAAAAGCCAGGGGGGAAATAAAGGCGAGCAATAAAGAAGAATGCGCAGAATACATGAATTAATAAATTGTAAGAGAAGAGGTTGAGTTACTTCAGAAAATTTCAACTTCTCTACGTGATAAGTCGAGGGAAAAATTTTCTTAGAAATCAACAAGATATGGGACGATGAAAAGAGATTCGAAGAGAAACTGATACCGAGATGTGAGAGATATTCGATTTACTCCCTATCACACAATGCCGTCAATAATACAAAAATCATGGGATTGAGTCAGTCCACTCAAGTCTTGTTTACATCACAAACCAAAATTTAGTTTAAGGCTATTTAAGTGAGATCTTCGGTTAACCTCACATAAAAATCGATTAATATAAGAACAATCCAATGCAGAGACTACTGGGCTGGAAATGTTGTGATCATAAGCATATTTAATGAAATTAGATTTAGAAGAATATGGAAGGTCATGCAAAAGGAGGCCTTGAGGCATACATTCATAGACAACTTTCTTTTCACAAAAGAGGATAGTGAAAAAGATGAGATGAATCGTTAGTGGAAATCTGTGTTTGATTCTCAGTTGACGTACTTCTGAACCTTGTCTATTTCACCAGCCGCTAGTAATCCTTGAAAAAAAGACGGAACCTCCTGTGTGAAGCTAGTAACCTCATCCCTCTTTAGAAACAACACCACTACCAGTGCAACATCAGAGGCTTGAAGTGGAAACACAAAGTGATGAGCGAGTATTTTATTCCCTTACATTCTGGGTGGAGCATAGGGCTTCAGCTTTGAATTTTGGGTTGCTCTAAGCTCACACTCAATCCCTCCTTTTTACCAATGATTATTACCGGCGTAGCTAGGTTTAAGAGTGAGTGAGTCATTCGAGACTTGAACTGGAGACCACATGGAGTATGTTAGCGAACTTTCTACTTCTGAACAACCAACGCGCGAAGCATTTTATGTTCCATTGGAAGCGCAAAAGGATGAGGTAAAATAGTTACTAATATGCATTAATCAATCCATAAAAAAGTTGAATAAGGGTTATAGAGTTACCTGATGAGATAAATGATTTGATGAATGAGTTGTCATCAGAATGTACGTAGAAACTAGGGAAAAAGTGTAATACTACATCAGATTTTGAAAGAGTAAAGGCATACAAATTCCTTGAGTACAACAGTCGTTATCAGGAATCTTCTTTAGTTTACAGAGGTCTGGTCCTTCTATCTGGATGTTTAGAGCTTCGGGAATGCAAAAGAGTATTGTCTTTGTCTGGTTACTTTTTACTTCGCAGGTAGAGTTTTGAGATAGTGACCATTGTCGATAAAGGGTTCAGTTATAATTACACTTTTTTTGAAGCCGTTACTGCCTTTCCACAACCATATGGAATTAGTGTTTTTGAACCCTTTTAGAGAAGATACAAGTCGAACGGCTAATATATGTAGTAGGTGAACGAGTATATTCACATGTGTGCAGTTAGAGATATGAGACATTGTCTTCTAGGTTTTTGTAGACCAGTGGACGAGAGGAGAACACTACTCTTGGCTTTATTGCAAAAGTTAGGCCATTTTGAAATCAAGGCCAATTGTAGAATTTGTCGTTTTTGGCAAAGACAGCGTCTCATGTCTCTGAATATTTTGTTCAGTATTCATGTGAATATATATATATGTCAGGTTGAAGGTGAGACAGTAACCCATCGAAGAAACCATGCGAAGTGGTCGCGCTATGTCATGAATTGGTAGAAGTTAGAATTCATGCACTGGCCATTGGATCAGGCCCCAGTGGCTTAATGGTCTACAAGCTGGCTGACCTTGTAACTAAAGGGCTCTGGGTTTGAATGCTGGCGGTGGGTGCGTACTGATGAAGAGTCCCAAACTAGTGCGAAACAGCTTGTTTTCCAATGGTTCTCTAACTGACTTCAGCTGATGATGAATTCCTTCAATTAATCAAACAAAATCCCTATGAAACCAATACGTGAAAAAAATATATATATATCAGTGAGTATCTCTTTTGATGAAGATTTCTCTTAGAAGGTCTTATTCTTCTTGCAGAGCGTCAGCTAACATGTGTTGATGTGAAAGACAAAAGCTTCACCTGTCCTAGCTGTCTTAATCGATACAGCTTATGTATAATGAGGATGAAACTTATCGGTAACAGAGTTTCATCGTTAGTCTATCATCTCAGCTGAAGCATTTTTTATGAAATCTTAGGAGATGAGAGATATTGGCGTTTACACAGAGTACAATGTATATGAAGTCAAATATTTATCCTCCAACTCGCATAGTATTTGTTCTGGTTAGAGCAAAGACAAATCAAAACACTAAATTGATCTTCCCAAATACGAGCGAGGTATATTTCGGAATCACAATCGCAGCACGATGATGACTGATTAACCAGCTTGGGGTTATGCTCGATGGCTTGCTGAATGGTGTAGAAATTTGACCGTGAATCTTAAGCTTAATGAGTTGACTTAAAACAGTCAATTCTGTAGGCTGATTAGATTTTAGGGGAATTATTTGCCACTACAATCTTGTTTGTTTTGAAATATACGAGTGATAAAAATGCTTGAAGAAGTAAAGATTTTGAACGGTAGTCTAACGTTATTTTTATAGATTGATTCTAATTGGAGCACATTTAAGCTTTACAATTTTTTTAGAAACACTTTAGACACCATCTTTAAGTGATCTTGACAGTCAAAGCTGAATTATGAAAGGCTGAAATAAAAGCAGGTGTTCATACACCTGTTTTTGAAAGCATCTGACAGACTTTAAAATTGTTTCTGCTTAAAATGCTACACAAGCTATTAAACGTAATAACTATAACGACCAAAACCCACAAGTTATGATCTGAATGCATGGAACCAATCTATGCCAACCTGAACTCCCTTGAGTTAGGCACAGGAAGTAGTAATGGACAGTTTAGACAGTAGGAGTTAGAATTCATGAGCCATTGAATCGGGTCCCAGTGGCTGAATGGTATACGAGCTTGCCTTGTATCCGGAAGGTCCTGGGTTCGAACCCCGAGTAGTGGGTGCGTACTTTCGATGATTCCCAAACTAGAATGAAACGGCTGTCCAATACTCCAGTGGTGGTTTTCAATGGTTCTTTAACTGATTTCAATCCGTGATCAACTCGTAAAAACAGACAGTTAGAGATTAAGCACACCATAGCAAACTATGAATGAGGAGCAAAAATAAAAACATCGGAGGAAACGCTGTCAATAATAGTTGTACTCATGACACAAGAGGAACATCAAAGTCCACACAGAGAAAACAGCTACGCTGTTCCCGATCACTGGATACTCCTTTTTGAATTACTTTCTCCTTTTCAAGACCGGGCTACTACATAGAAAATGTCTCAACGACAGCAAAATGACAGTTATTTCCAATAAAATATACGGTACTATTTAACAATAATAATATATCAAAAATTCGGAATTATCTCAGCAGTTCCGTTAGCCAGTAGTACAGATCCAGTAGCCCCTCAAGTACATTATTATCATATCTACTAATCCATTTTGTTCCGAGTGGAACATATGGCTTCAACACCACATCTCCAATTTGTTCTAATTTTTTCTGTCCTCTTCACCTCGGTCCACTACTGCCCATAATCTCTCAGATCCTCCTCGATGTCACCCTCGCACTGACGACCCACTCGTCACTTCTCACTAGCATTCCACTCGGTAACAGCCTGCCACGCGATGTCATTCAACCCTCTCCTCAATGTATACGCGTACATCTCCATTTTCTCCTACATATTTGTCGATTAATCGCTCTTTATCGATTTATTGCCAGAGTTTCCTGTGTCTAATTCTTTCTGGTCAGCCGGCAGATGTTGATAAAAGTCTGTAACTTATTGGAAACAAGTACTATGTAACCAAATCAATCGTATGAAGTACCTGAGAATCAAAAACAGGATCTTGCATGATACTACGTGCAATTGATAGTATTTGCTTTGGCATAGTAGCAGATAACAATATGATCTGGGCATTTTCGGGTAGAAATCGATAAATTTCTTTAATTTGGGCCTCAAAACCACGATCCAACATTTGATCTGCTTCATCCAGTACAAAAATTTTGACGCCAGCTGTTGTTAGAATACCACGGCTCATCATATCGAAAACACGACCCGGTGTACCAACAACAACATGTTGACCTTGTTGAAGACAAGCTACATCTTCAGTGGTGCTTGTGCCACCAATACATGTATGACACTTTACATTAAGATAAGCACCAATACTTTTCACAACCGTTTGGATTTGTCTGGCAAGTTCTCGGGTAGGAACCAAAACAAGAGCTTGACGAGCACTCGAACTGACATCTACTCTTTGCAAAATGCTTATAGCGAAAGTGGCTGTTTTTCCTGTACCAGATTGAGCCTGGGCAATGACATCACGACCGTCAATGCAGGGTTTGATAGCCCGCTGCTGGATAGCCGATGGTTTTTCGTAACCATAATTGTATATACCACGGAGGAGTTCTGGTTTCAAGCCCATCTTATCGAATCCATCGACAATTTCATGGTAATTTGTTTCGATCTCTGAATCATCTACAGAATTGCTCATTACAAACTGTTTTGCGTGACAAAAACCTAAAGCGCTCTCTCACCGGGTTATTTTGATTGATAATAAAAAGCATGGTTATGGTTAACCGCTCAGCACAGGCCAGTTCCTCCATACCGAATGGGAATGGTGACGCTTTCGTGCACCCTCCTCAATCCGGCTGGACGATCGAACAAGGAGGCGGCCGAGTCCGCACTTACTGACGCCATAAGCAGCCAGCCAGACGGACAGCCACACACCCGCTTCACTCTCGGGACTAGGCCGCACTGATCATCATAGCGGTTGGTTTTGTTTAGCATATCTATTGATTGTACTATTGTACTTTTGTATAAACATACAATTCTATTTATTTATTTATGATACATGTTGATACCTGTTGCATGATTCATGATTGGACAAGAATTTTAAAAACAAGATGTGTACCTTTATAATATAAACTTTGTTATGTTAATTTCGATTAATTTCCCTGAAGAAGTTCGGACCAGATTGCCGAACGAAACGTTGGAATTAATCATTTCAATTTCGCTGAGATTTTACAAATATAACTTTATAAATGTCTACTTCTCACTCAGAGCTCAATTATTTTGCAACTATCCCATCAAATCTTGATCACAGTTCGTATGAAAGTCTCAAAGTGTTATACAGTAAGTGTTATTTACTGATGACGACATTTTGAGCATCGTTTACTGCTGCTCATAATAATATCGAGGCACTACTCACACAACATTTCAACTTCGTTTATTTGGTTCCACTAATTCTCATCTCTTGATTTGATTGGTAGTAATATTTTCAGTATTTCTGATATCGGTGATGAGCCATTCTTACTGCATTTGTTGTGTTGGGTGTAAACGTGATGAACAAGGATTCAATAATCAATCTCTCTCTCCACCTACTTATATTACTTCTTAGAATTTTAACCCTCACCCACCCACCTTATTGTGTGGTTATGTGTTAATACATGCAGTGCAATCGCTGAGGTTTTTTGTAAATTACTTATCTTCTCGGGGTCAACCATTCTTGCCTCAGCTAAATTCTTATGTTCCGACAATCTGACCACCCCCGAGCTACTAGTCTAACCTATGTACTTGACCTTACAGTCATTGCAAGGTATTTTGTGAATTATATTATTTTGTCTAATTGGGTCAACCTACAGAGTCCGTTAACCTACAGAGTTTTTCCTACCTGAGTGAGTTTGTAGGTTTGAATGCCACCTTAATTCCTGCTTAGTTAACAATCCTACGTAGGATTTCAGATGTTCCCCCTTATATGGTAAAACTACTGTAGATATTTTATATTCTTTCTAATTTCCTTTACTAGTGACTTGATATCATTGAAGAAACTAGACATCCGTTCTCTTATTAACCAGTATACCGAGGGTAGTCAGATTATCCGAACATAAGAATTTAGCCAAGGTTAGCATTATTGACCTCGAGAAGATAAGAAGCAACCAGCACATGCAGTAAGAATGACTCATCACTGATATAAAAGATATGGAAAGTATTACTATCAATCAAATCAAGAGATGAGAAATGGTGGAACCAAATAAACAAAGTTCGAAAGTTGTGTGAGTATTGCTTTGATATGATTATGAGCATCAGTAAACTGTGCTCGAAATGTCGTCATCAGGATATGTGACTTTTTAACACTGTGAGACTTTATCAAAATAAATTTTATCCACTATGGGAAGTTTGTTGAAGCGATTATTCAGAATACGTATATCGTATGGGAAATTCATCAATTTGCGTTCTAGGAATAGTAATTTTCGTGTTCTACATTGTCGGATAACTAAAAAGTAAAAGAGAAATACTTTATTACTGCAGCAGATATGATGCTCCTAAATTTATCTGGCAATGACTAGCTCGCATAACTTTCTTTTTTAAAGATTTTTTTCCCTAATAATGATTAAATACAACTCTTCACTTTTAGATGTCAGATGAAATTTTAAAGACACCAAGGAAAATCTGAGCTTTAATTTAGTTTCATGTGTTGACCACAGATTGAATACAGCAGTTAGAGAACTGTTGTAAACAAGCCAGGAGTACTGTAGAGCTGTTTCGTACTAGTTTTGTACTCATCATCAGTACATACCCATTGGGGTTCGAAACAGCTGACCAGTACTCCCTACTTCTTCTTCAATGGTTCTCCAACTGTGTTCAGTCTGTGGTGAAACTTGAAGCATATCAAATGCCTACAAACGTACTCTTGAAAACTTGTTTTAACTTCGTCAAATCCAAGATTGGACGCAGTGGCACGTTTTCTTTGTGCACTTTTGACAGACTATATAAACGGGGAATCACGTACCCGGAGGGTCAATTCGTTTTTCATCTTCTTCAGCATTTGTGTTAGCTTACCTTCAGTTTGTTCAGTTTGGTCTTTCTGGCTACTTTCTTTTGAAAATTTGTTTTCATCTGACAAGACTGATAACATTTTGTCGATGCAGTCTTTGCGATCCATCAGGACAATGCCAGCACCTTTGTCGGGGCGTGTCAGAATCAAGTCTTTATTCTTTAAAATCTTACGTAGTTGCTTTCTGTGCTCGGCTGACATCAATCTTTTGAAATTTGGTTTCGTGTTAATGTACTGATGGCAGCTATTCATTACTGTTGACTTGAATTGTTCATATGATTTGTTGGACACTGGGAGAAGGTCATTTGTCTGTTGAATCAGTGCTTCAAACGGGACTTTAATATCCAAGTCACTCGAATTTGTCGAAATATCAAAGAATTTTGGACCCAACAACAAGGCTTGCATTCGGACAGGAGTCAGTGATATACTAGAGTAGTTGAAAACGTATTTTTCTGGTGTTGCAGGAAAACGTGAGTAAGTGAAGGCAAGCTAACACAAATGCTCAAGAAGATAAAAAACGAATCGATTATCAGCTCTGAATTATTCGAGCAAATACGACCCTCCGGTTCCGTGATTTTCCACTTTTATTAAGTGTTTGACTTTTTGCCTGAATAATTTGCATGGTTTGTCTAAATATGTATTAAGAATTTCGCTGAGCTTTACTACTAATTAATAAGTGGGTATCCATTTCGATTTTAGGAACATAAACTAGCTGTGAAAAGACGTAACATGTATTCATTCATATTGATGTAGTGTAGACAACTATAGACCTCCATTTGACTGGGAAAAGATAGAAATTCTAAACATTGAATAAACACCAAAAATTTCAGGAAATTCGTAGAATCCTGGTACTCCGATAAATCAACGATCAACAGATGCATTTGACCAGACACTATGAAATGAGTAACTAGTGTCATGCGTCTAGTCCTACTTTTGATGCAGACTGAATTCTATAAGTGAATTCTGCAATGTGACCAGCATGCTGAGTGGCTTCTCATCACAGTGCACTGCGAATTGTTGTTATGAGAGAGTAGGAGACAATCGGAAGGAAGCCCTGCCTGACCTAGGGTTCGTGCTAGTTGGCACTCTCCAGTCAGGAAGGCGTATCTTCAATCACATTACAAACTTGACAGATAGAACTCAGTATTCACCAAAAAAGGACTAGACACTCCTACAGGAGGTCAATCAGTAACCCGAATTTATCACAGGTAACGTCTCTGACTGCAGCACTCATTGGGTGACACGGGTTCGAGTCTCAGAAGAGACATGAGTTTATTTGAAGATACGCCTTGATGACTGGTGAGTGCCAACTTTCCCGAAACCTATGTCAGGTGGGCTTCCTTCCGAGAGCCTCCTACCATCTAACACCAACTGACACATTATAGACCAGATTTTTTTAAATTCACGGATAGTAACCATCCAGACGTTAATGCAAAACAAAATTGCGTTGTTTAGTGAGGCGAATTCATTCACTTAGGCTTTACAATCGCAGTTATACTTAATTATTTTTCTATATATATGTGTATATATTAGCTTTTTCAGACAAGAATAAAAATTGCTTAGTGTTGTTTTCTACGTCATCAAAATATTTCGAAAATTTTTATGAACAATCAAATTGTAACTAGGGGGGGAGTGAAGATTAGTAAAAGGGTAGTCGTGATGAGTTGTCAAAATATATAGTTATTAGTGTTAGTCATTGCATAAGAGAAGCTGAATAAGTGTGTTGTAGTTACGTCATAAAATGAATAATTTCTTCAGTGAGTTTTAATTAGGATCTACATAGAGGCGAATTAAAATATGGAATTATTTTAGAGTTGCAAAGAAATAGATTTTGCGGATGACTTATGTTTGATGTCACACAACATCGAAGACTTAGAAGCGAAAACCGACAAATTGGTCGAAGAAGCGGCCCACGAAGACAGGACTCCAGGTGAACATAGACAAGACGGAGGTCATGAAAAAGCCAACCAACAACAACAGCAGCAACATCTAGCACCAATCACCATCAACGGAGGGATTTGAAAAAGGTTACTTCATTCACTTATCTAGGGAGCATTGTCTCAACTACAGGAAGCCGGAACGGACGAAGATGTCAAATCGAGCGAGAATCGGGAAGGCGAGAAACATATTCATCAACCTGAAACCAATCTGGTAATCTTCGTCACTCAGCCAGTATCAACAACAAAATTCGCTCGGATTTTCAATACAAAGTCAAGTCAGTCAGCTGTTTTATAGGGATCAGAAACTTGGCGGGTCACAAAGAATATTCCCAACAGCCTGTTGCAGACCTTTATAAACCAACAACTGTCTTCGCTGGCTCTATACTGAAGGTCAGATGGCCAGGCCGGAAAGAATCACCAACAAGAAACTATGGGAACAAACAAAACAAGAACGAATCGCCAATCAACAAATATGAAGTAGAAAATTGATATGTATCCACATATATATATTTATGTGTGTGTGTATGTTGGTCTCTCTTTCTGTTTGCTCGCTTAGTCTGTGACCATTTCACTTGTATGAACATGTCTCCTTTAACAATGTATATTCCCCTTATATTATATATAATATGAGTGTTTGTTGACAGTCCGTTGCTTAGTGACATATATCCATATATGGTGGTTGTTGACATGTCTGCTATATTTTGGTATATATATATT